AACAGATCGCCAGATGCAACTGGAAATTCCTGACTAAAAGATGCCGTTTTGTTTATCAAGAGACACTGTCAGCCATTGCATACATTTTATTTTCTCGTTAAGGAAATGCGCTGAGCATATACAGAGATTACATTCAATACAGATTTATCATTACAGAACAACCAGAAAATAAACACACAACCAATACCTAACTCTTGTGGCAGAGCAGGTGGAATGAACTGGTTCAAGCTGAGAACGAAATGAAAAATACTTCAAGAAACTTCAGTGATTTGTACACAGATGAGATATTTAAGTTGAAATTAACACTCTCAGCCAAGATCTGTTGCATTGCTGCAATCTTTATATTTATAAGCAGCTTTATCAGCCTCGTGCCTAGAAACTAGAGCGTAGACCAGAACTACCTTGTCTGGGAGCCCTTTCAGACAAAACCAGAACAGTCCCAGTCTGAAGCCACAATCTACAGGAGATGATGAAGGATTCAGACAGAGGAAAGAGTATAATAAAACAAGGAGACAGTTTGGTCCCTGTGACAGGCAACAGCTACAAGGCGGGCTATAGTTACACTCTACATGGAGGTTTCACTGATTATTTTACTTGAAGAGGCTCTCTAGAGTTTGAAACCTTACTAAAATTTTTGTGAATGTGCAGAATTCTATGATACGCTGCCTGGAATTGATTTTTCAAAGAATTATACTGAAAAAAAGTCACAACACAAAACTAGTAGAAAAACTACTTTGCCACGTAGTTTGTGAGTTCCATAAACTTGATGAGTAAATCTTTTACCAATAGTTTGTGAGTTCCATAAACTTGATGAGTATATCTTTTTCCACATGGGTAACTAAAACTAGAACTGGAAAGACCACCTCTGCTTCAATGACACCAGCTGGTCTTGAAGCCAGTCTTACGCATGTTATGTGCCAGAGATTGGACCAGATCATCGCAGCTGGACATTAAAATCTACAAATATCACTCATCTGCTTGTCTGTCCCTCTGAGTTTTGAATGAAAGGAGGAACCACGCTGCTCTCCGACATCATAGACCCAAGATCCTGCTGAGTGCTATCACATCGTGTGTTACTTCTCCTCTTGCCTAGTTTCAACATGACCACTTCAAAGGACTGTCTGCCTACTAGCTAGTGGTGCACAATGCCTTCTAGGATGTGGCCCATTCTGGACATTTACTTGGTAAAACTGCTATCAATGGGCTTATTAAAGATGTTGATTTAGTTCCTTACATCTCTAAAGATCTCCAAGTAATTTCATTCACTTTTCAAAAGGAAAGGGATGTAGAAACTGCCATAGATTAACTCAATCACGTCATTGAAGGGGCAGCTATATACTGTTACTCCCAAAGAATGAAGTTGAGGATAGTGAAGAATTAACTACATAGTTGAAACTGCAAGAAGAATTTGGATAAACGAAAATGTTATCACTCAAATTATAATTTGCCTGCAAGACACGGATTAACCACTTGTTCTCAAAACCAGCAGTAGAGATAGAATGAGGTGATTTTTGGACGGAGTTTACCAGTTCAAAACAACTTCCAAGCTCTTTTTTTTTCTTCTTTTTTGAATGTTGTGGTAAGATTCTCAAAGGATCAGAAAAGAGAAGAGCGGAAGGTGTTTTTTTTTCCAGGAAATATACATAACATAACATACCTCCATGCATTGTTCTCTTAATGACCTTCTCTTACCAGTTTGCATTAATACTAAATCATCTTTATTTCAAGTTTTCTGGCTTTGTCCAGTTCGCAAACGTTCTCTGAAAGACTAACTTGCTTGCTAGAATTTTCAGTCACTTTGTGTTAGAAAAGTTTAGCTTGCTTTTCAATGTCTGCCAACAGTAAACACCATTTGGAAGATTTGGTCCTTCACCCTACTACAAGGCTACTTGCCGCTAAGATTTCTCCATCTCTTTGTACATACTGTCTAAATTGTAGGAAAATGTTATATATTTGCACAATGAGCTCCTTATGATGAAGAAGAAGAGGGCAGCATTTCTTCCATACAGGTCAAGACATATTTAACAGATGGAACAACTTTTATCTGAACGTGTCAGGTCTGCCTACTGCTTTTTGCCTACCAAGAAACATGGTAAATGGAATAACGTGATTAGGAAACATAATAAACTCTTTCTATAAAGGCAGACTTGTTGCTTCAGGATACTCTTTTTCCCTCCCCCTCATGTCAGCTTCAACAACGGGTGCCACAGCAATGTAAAGCCGAGGAGAGAGACGTAGCTCGCGGAGGTGGTGACTCTTGAAGCCAGGCTTTTTGCATTGCAGTTGTTAGAGTAGCAGCAGTGAACGCTCACTCCAGGCGCTCTGGATCCGTCCCTCCTTGCCCGCTCGCAGAAGGACCTGAACGAACAGGACTTCATGATGCCACCTAGAACAGAGCCACGTTGAACCCAGACGGACCTGCATGTCCATGGTCACCTGCTCCTGTCTGCATCCCCTCAGCACGAACCTGACCATCCAGTACTGAGCAACGACATTAGGTTTGGCCCTTCTTTACAAGTAAATGAAGACAATTGCATCACATTACACTAACAAGCTTCCACTTAAGTTAAATAATTGTAATTGATCTTAGGTACAACTGATGCACCTTAAGTATCTCTGAACTTGCTCAAGTGCGGCGCCCCATTAGTTTCTTTCCCTTCCTAATTCCTGGGTAAGTAATTTAACTTTAAAATGACAGATTTAAGTAAGAAGTGGGCAATACTTAAAGTGCTTTTTTACAGCTTTCACGTAGCGTGGATAGGAACTGTTTGCTACTACTTACTTGCTTGTCCTCTAATGACGGCACACGCATCTGAATGCCCTGGACATTGCTGAGTTCCTTGTCTGTTACAGTCTTCATCACTAGAACCTACACAGGTGTAACACTGCAGTGCTCCGCCTGGCATTAAGGAAAAAAAAAAAGACAACTTATAACAGCAGTGTTTTGAGTTTACAAAAAAATATTTTAAAACATTGGCCATGCACTCTTTCTAATTTTGTTTAAAGCACATGCAGAAACTGGAAAAAGGTTTAAAAACTAGAGATTCTGCAAATACTGTCGACTTTTCTTTTTTAGAAGTGGTCCAGCTACTGATTTTAAAGGTATTTTAAGAAGCCACTTATGTTGTTACAATTTGCCCTTAAAATAATCCAAGAATATCCATGTTCTGTAATTGCATCCACACCTTCCAAAAAAACATTTTCAGAGCAGAGCCCACTGTAACAACATGGAGTATCATGGCTTTTTCCCCCTCCTCATGGTTTTTGGTCCACAGTACCATGAAAAAGTCCATTGCAAATACATAAAATCTTACTATGATCCATATTTCATTTTCTCCTAGAGTATCGATTCAGCTGGAAGGCACAACAGTGTACCTTAAGAGTTTTGCTTTTGTTTAAATGTTTCAACCATAAGTCAATCCTCTTTCTCCTCCTTGGCTCAAACTACATGGTCTTTCCAAAGGCAAGCATGAATTCGAAGTATATTTACAATACCATACCTAAACATGCAGAGCAGACGGCATGTTTGCTGTCCATAGGGACATGTGCATTTAAATTTGTTAGCACTCATATTTATGTTTACATGACATAGCAGAAGTGAAACTCTGTGCTGCTAACCACATACACAAAATAATCTGCAACCAAACCAACCCAGGAGAGAAGCCCAGAACAGCAAAGAGGCTCAGCCACACCTGAAGTAGGAAATGAAAAAGCAATAAAAAAGGCAAGAAAAGGGAGTCGACTTACTTTTGAGTACAAAAAGGGAGCTGACAAGAACCAGGCTGAAGACTGTCCTCATCATGGAGATACAAGAGATGTACCATTAGCCAAAGAAAGCAGTTTGTTTGCTATTAAAGCCTTAATGCTTATCTTACATACCTAATCCTCTGCAGAGGATAACTTATAGGATAAAGAGGTGTGCGAGAATGCTACTTATCTAGCTTATTCTGGTTGTACTTCTAATCACACCTACTTCATCTCCACAAACCCTGCAGGCAAATTCTTCCAGCAGCAGGAAGAAGAAAATGTATTCACCTTTCAGTGACAGATATGCTTAAAAACCACCATCCCATCATCACCTGTCACAGCCTCCGACTCCTGCAAACAGTCTCATTACATTCACCTATGGGATTTGCTGGATCAGGGTCAGAGTATTAAGAATTTTGGAGGATTAAGTCTATGCCTGAGACCTGAGTGGTCCAAATCTAGCACATATATATATATTTACAGAGAGAGCAAGATATAGACATAGATATGTGCACATAAGTAGTATATTCTTGTGACCCATGAAGTGCTTTCTGCAAAGGAATTCATTAACAACAGCTGCAGTAGCTGGCACTGCACATGAAGAAGGCAAGTGAAGTACATAAAATAGAGCCATACTTATCTTCAACTTTCAACGAAAAAATTTATTTACAATAGAGAATTTCATTTAAGTGACATGCATTTTCTTTTTTTTTTCTCATTTTTAATTTTATTTTACAAATCAGCAAATGCAGATAAAGTTTACACTCCTTAAGGCAAGAGTCCCCATGCAAGTAATACATGTTTATATTAAATCCAAAAGACATCCAACATGGGAACTCATGTACAAAGGGAAGGCTAGGATCAGCAATTTGTAATTTCTTAGAGAACTTGACAATCTCCCTGATACAGGAACTTTGAGATCAACTTGCTATGAATTATACTATGAAAATGCAAACAATAGCAAGAAATTCTGATAGTCATCTTAGTACTGCATACAATTAAATCAACTTTTATTTAGAAAGAAAATACAGTAGTGCATACGAAAAAGTGAAAATATAACCTGTCCACATAAATGTATGGACATCAGTGTGCCAATGGTCATATTGCACTCAATATCGAAGTCCAGAAATTTGGTTAAAAGTTAGCTTTTCCCCATTTTGGCAATCAGTTCATCACAAATCTTTGTTAATTCTTCTATCTCTTTATTCTGGAAAAGAAAAAGCAATATTAAGTATTACGAAAAATACTGTTGCATTAAGACAAGTTGTGGGGCTTTTTTTAATTATCCAACCTCTGGGAGAAGCGTGGGACAATTAAGTTTTCTCCAATACTGAGAACAGAAGATCTATACATAGATATATGTATATACAGAGAAATATATAGTATATATGAATACATAGAACAGCTATGTATAGTGCATTCAAACAATATGCTGACTTATTTCCACATACAGCTCCTCTGACTGCAATAAATACAATTTAGCACTCACGCAGACAGCTTTATAGCAGTCATTCCTATAATGATAATACATAGTGTAAATCTGTTTCTAGGCTGCACTTTTATAGCATTATTTTCACTCTGTTTCCCAGGGGCTCTAAGCAAGGATGAGCTGTACTACACTGAAAGCAAACTTCCTTGATGAGCTAGAGAACATGAGATATAAATAGGGAATTCCTGCAGTCACTTTTGCCCTAAATCATAGACATCTGTATCTGATAATTTTGCCTATATTAAGAGTGGATGGACATAAGGTAGGATTGGAATTATAGCTAAAACTAAAGATGGAAGCAAAAACTGAAATAAGAACTAAACCAGAAAGATGTTAAAACAAGAGAACCAAAGCAAACCATGGGCCCTGCTTGGTACACAGGTGCACCATGAGCTTTGATCAAGCCTCAACTGGCCCCGAGCGCTGGTCAAAGCCTGGCAGATGGGTCCACTTGCCTGAACTGCCTGGTGCAGGCAGCTGATTTTGTTGTAAGGGTCTGGGCAAGGCTGCTCTCCCTGGGGCCGGGGAGCTGCCAGGCCAGCTGGACACGAGGAGCAAGACAGGTCCTTGGGCTGACCTTGGCTGTGCTCTGAGCTCCAGAGGAGAGCGGGATGCAGCCACTCTGGGGAGAAGGTTTCACCAAGCTCTGGCCATCCCGTTGACTTCTGCGGGAAAAGAGCTGAATGGCTACTTACCTTTTGTTCCAGTGTTCTTTCCAACGCGTCCACTTTCAGCTGCTCTTTGCGAAGGCTGGCCTGATACGCCGCTTGCTCTTGCTGAGCCTTGCCTCTCACTTGTGCAATTTCAGCGTTGGCTCTAGAAAAACACAGATTTTTGACATGTTGGGTTCTCCGCAGGGAAGGACAGCGGGTACCGAAGAACGGACTGCACCTTAGCAGATGGGTGGTGAAGGCATGGCTGCCTTGTGCATGTCTTTGAAAACAGCCTGAGGCTTGTCCCTATAGACTTTTCCTGACTCCCTCTCTTGCTCAGCAGAGGCTGCAAAGTCTTTTCTTCATGTCTGTCGTTCCCTTCATGCTTCTCTCAGATATCTGTGCTGGGGTCACAAATGTCACTGACGTACAAGGGTTTTACGGCAGTTTCTAAACCTCATCTCCAGTTCTTACTGACTACACTCGCAGTGGGGACAAGAGCTGGAAAGCAAATCCAAGCCTCACTTGTCTTTAGGCACTGATCAATCCTAGTGACAATTTAGAGACACCTCTTGGGTCTAGGTGACTGTAATGAGAATCCAGAATGTAATCCCTAGAAATGCTTACTTGGTCGTTACATGGAAGCACAGAAAAAAAATAAAAATAAAATAAATCAGCTGGAGCTGCCTGTCTTAAGCCACGAGTTGATGTTCACTCCTTAATGGTGTCTTAAGGAGCTACTATCCAGGCAGATCTGGCATGATCTTTTGTGCAACTATTCCTCGTCACTCTCAGCACAAGTTGGGCTGATCCAGCTTAGATAACCGGTGTTCCCAGGGAGAGAGCGCCCGACTGATCCTGTGCTGAAACAGCCGGGTGGGACTTACACGTCCTGTTCTGCAGATTGATGCAGGGGCAATAACACTGCACGGGGGCAATAGCACATCTCCTGGGACAAGGAATACTGGCTGCAGGTGCAAATATCTGAGCACAGCCCTCCGCAGCTGCATAAACCTAGCTAATGGCTTCTCTCTTGATCTTCCCTGGAAAACGAAGGCATTTGATAAAGACAGAAATTTAAGGTGTTCTGTACACGGTCAGGAGCTGGAAGAAACACCAGCACACTGCAGAAATTCTCATTGTGGCATTTCATTCCACCCTCCATCACAGAGCAGCCTGTGCTCTGCAGTTTGAAGGAACAGGTTTGGGATGCAAGGTCCAGCCAAGGGAACTCTCCTGCAGCTTGAACTCCTGAAAAGAGATGTGTACAACCAATTACCTGTCCAGTTTTTCCTCAGCGTGAATTTTGAGGGCTTGATACCTCTGCTCTTCCTTCTTCACTCGTGATAAATACTCCTGCGCACATTTCTTTAACACTTCTTCATTCTTAAATGAGAAGATTACATTAAATTTAACCCAAGAGGTTGAAGTATAGGACAGGCACCTATTTGCAGGAGTCACATTCAGATATTTTAAGGGCTGCAGTCTAACTCTGACACTGGTACGTGAGAGCCTGCCCAGCTTCGCTCTTCAAAGGAGGGGACTTTAACACGACTCACCTTCCGAAAGCCCTCCAATACTTCTTTCATTTTTTCGTATCTCCTGAAAAGATCTGCCAGTGATTTCTCCACTGAGTTCAGATCTGCCAAAGCTTGTTCCTTCTCCACTATCAGCTGCTGAACTGTGTGATGGGAGACAGATTTCTCTCTCTGTTCATCCTCTGTTAGAAAGAAGAGAGGAGGAGGAAAAAAAAGAGATTTTCAGAAGGGTAATAGTAGTAAGAACACTGATGTCACTATCATCTATAGCTTCTATTATCCTGTGCTCTACATGGTGTATTATTAAGTGTCATTTTTATATAAAGACACAGTCCTATTTTGAAAAAAAAGGTTGCTAAATACAGTGATATTTAAATACTTTGATGTTGGGGAAAAATGTAAATAGATCTCTGTACTGATGACTTATTTCACTCTGAACTCAGCTGTTCCCATGAAAAAGGCAGGTGTTGGATTTCCCTCGTTTGCCTGAAGATGCACTAGCTGAAGGAAAGGACGTTTATGCATATTACTAGCCCTGGCAATATATTACTTGCCATTGCTGATATATGCTTGTCATTTCCTGGCACCTCTTCTAATCCTGTACAAACAAGGCACTTTTTGTTTAATGGCATTCAACTCGAATTCTTCCCTTGGAAAAACAGTGTTTTACAAACTCTCTTTTTTAGGATTACTGTAGCAAGTGCCAGAAAGGAAATCTAACATTAAACAGACTTTCTAAGTTCTGGTCTGTAGAAAACATCTTCCCATCTTCTTCTGTGTATAGTTAAATTTGAGGCAGGGATGGTGGGAAGAACACAAGAGGAATCCAAATCCATATGGAAGACAACTTTTCAAAGGAATTGACCTAGTAATAAATTGGAATACCCCTTTAACACTGGAAGGAAAGGACTGGCATTGTCTTCCAAAATGCTTCATTGTTTGCTTCATATCCTAAAACATGATTCTTGTGTCCGTGTTTTAAGGGCTACTTTGAATGACACTGAAATGAAAACCAATCCATAAAACACAGCAGTTTTATATTACCATTTTCCTTGTCTACAATGGAAACTAAAATAAAGTAAGAAGTTTCCCATGTAAAAAGCACGGGGCATTTCAGAATCTGCAACTTTTCATTCAGGCCTTTATATTTTGAAATATAAAGAACTAAACAAGACCTTATTTTTTTATTTGCATAGAAGTCTTCATCTGAATTCAGTATTTCATAGTGCTGGGCAGCTCTGAAATGTCAAAGTTGATACTGTCAATTCCCAGATGGAGATTAATCTCTTCCTTTCACACATTCAATCCTTTCATAGGCTTTTGTCGCTAGCCTAACTAAGCCCAGAGCAGCACGATGTCACGCCGTGCCTCAGCTCATGTTGGCTATGTTCTGTTCTTCTCTGCACGCCCCCAGGCAGCATCTTGCTGGGGCAGAGCCTGACCTGAGGTCATTTTGCTCTATGTGATGCAGAAGATCAAAAGAAGCTCTAAGAACCTGCACTGAGTTTGTTGCACTGGAAGCTGTAACACCTTTATTTTGCTGGTGAATAAACACCTTTGATACGGCAGAACTGAGAAACCCAGAGCCCTGCAATGCCACATCAGTTTGGTATCATTTAACATCTCATAAAAAATAAACATTCTTTTCTGTTCTGCCTTCTTAAAGACATTCTGTGATCATCTGTAATGTCAAAATGAACGTATTCTCAAGGAAAAGGAGAAAACTATTTGTCATCCTTCATTTATTTTTCTAAATCTGAGAGGATGTCACCTTGTGCTCCAGCACAAGATTTGTTTAATCACGCTGGAGATTACACACTGACTAGCTCAATGCCGAAACACTCACAGCCAGGATCCTGTTCTTTGGCAAAACCTCTGTCGTCGCAACTCCACGCAGGGGGCAGGGTCCATTTGTGTGATCACGTAATGTACTTAAATGTATTTAATGTCACAACTGCACTTTTTCTGAGACTGCTGTCTGCGGTATTTTAGCAACTTCCTTCTTGTTTCTAGGGCAATCTAGAAAGTTAATAATTCGTGACCGTCCTTCACAACTACTGAGCAATTCTTCTTCCTCCCAGGGCATCGCGGTGCCCTCCTCTCTCCTCCAGCTCCTTCAAACTCATCCCCAGCCCTGCTTCAACTCGCACGTGGGAATCAGGAGCAAGCGATATCAGATGCTCCCTTTCTCCTCTCCCTTCCATGACGAGCTATCGGTGTCCTCGGACTGGGGGGCGAGCTGACGCCTCATTAGACTCCAAGTGAGAAGAGGAATTTATATTGGGGAAGCAAGGAGTGACAGATACATTTTTCTGGAAAGAGGGAAAGTTTCCAGTGTGCTGTAGGCAAAGCGCATCTAACAATCTGAGATAGCAGTTAAGATGTATTTAAAGCCAAAGGGGCTACATACTACAGAAAACAGGAATCTGGCTGGAGGGGGACTGCAAGATCCATGAGATATTCTCTAAAACTATGATTTAGCTTTAATGAAAAAGCTGCTTAGTAGGACTGCGTAAAAGTCTGCCAGTCAAATCTTAGTGAAGCAGCTACAAATACTTCTGTCTAAAAATATTTATGAGGTTACATGATTAAAATATCTTAATTAAATGGCTTCCATGTCTGCGACACACACTGTCGACGGCTCACCAACAGTAACAACAGTCTGCTCAGGACTAACACTATCCAAATTGACAGAATCAGAGCACCACCACAGCAGATCTGCTTTCAGGCTCAGCTCAGTATTACTTAACGTTACTTAATGGGAATGCAGCAAACAGAGAACAAAAGCAAAAAGAAACTAAAAATGCAAAATGCTGGTGTGAAAGTTGGTGAAAAGCTTTACTTACCAGGCTTGCCTGTTTTGTTTTTGCAAGCAAATAGCAAGAAGCAACAAAAACGGAAGCAAAATAGAAAATCAGGAATTGTTAGGAAAGCAGAAAATAGGTAATGCAACAACCTGTAATGCACAAAGCATAACATCTGTTTGCTTTTCATAATGAGATTTAATCATGTATTTAAACGTACAAGTACAAGGATACATTTTTAACAGAAAACAACCCCAACATTACAAATCCGACACTAAAAAGGAAATCCACGACAGGGATTTTGGAAGGGAACTGTGGATGGCTGTGACCAAGGTGTGTGTAGGGTGGGGTGGAGTGAACATTGGGGTTACGCAGGCTCCGTTCCATACGGCTGGCAGTGCCACGCAGTCCTGAGCTGCAAAACTTGGGCAACAGTCAGCGAAGCAGCAGCACAAGCAGCAGGTCAGCCTGGAAAGCCTGTTCTTTTTTCTCCCCCCTCCTCAATACAAACAAGAACGTGTTAGAGGCCGAGGCAAGTGTCAGAAAAAAGGAAAAAAAAAAATTAAAGCACCAGTAAAAAAATATGCAAAGAGACACTAACAGGGATCTATACCCTGACAGCTTGCAAGCTCTGCCTGTACAGAGTATGGCATGAAACTAATTGCATAAGCTAAGTGGGGTAATACTGGGTTCTATATGCATATGACAGCAAACACTAGACGTGCCACAGCCCTTGAAATCAAAGGCAATTACTATTTGCAATGCATGGTTCTGGTGCCTTCATAAGCAAATATACACAATTATATATTGTTTATATGGAATATTTTCAGTATTCGTTATACATACACATGACAACTTATAAAAAGCCGAGCAGGATCTATCAATCACACTGAATATTCATTAAAGGGGTTTGTGAAATTGGTTCACTCATAATGCCCTCCTAACAGGGCTGTATAAATAGCTCAAAGGGGTTAAATCATAAATAGAAACAGCACAGGCATTTATTTTGTTAAAATGCATATTTTGCTTTAGCAGTAAGGCATTATTGTGATAATAGTTCATGGAAGTATATGCAAATAGCACACAGACAAGCATTTTCCTCCAAAACGTGACATTAGGATGAGTGGATTCCTTTATCAAAAGGGTCAGTAATTTACGACAAATGACAGGAGAAAGTGGGACAATTAGATGAAAAATTTACATTAAATGCAGGGAGAGGAAGCCTTGCATTTAATATATTACCATGCTGTAGAATTTGCATATTGCTCTAATTAACGCTTGCTTTCTGTGTCACTGTTGTTTCAGTTCCTTTGCAAATGGACAGTAAATTACATTATTTATAGCCATAGCTCTTAAAAACTTGCCATAGATCTCTGACTGATGCTCGGAATTTGGAGTTTAAAAATCTTTCAATTTCCTCAGTGGTCAATGGCTCAGTGCTTTAATTATCCTTGATTTCTTTCCAGCAAGACGAAAGGCAACTGTAGAATTTACTATGTATGTCATGGCTGTGCCTCTGCCTTAGGACCCCTACTCTATACCTTCTTGTTGCACTGAGGTCTCGCAATTTTAACTTTTTTTTTTTTTTTAAATCTGTTTCTCAAAAATGGAATTGGAGTTTGTTATCAAAAAGAAACTTCTGTTGCTAACTACAAGCACATGCTTGGGAAAAAAGGACAGGTCCTGTGTTTGTACATATGAATGGCCAGGTTCAGTGACGAAGCTGTACCAGAGCATGTTTAGTGTAAACCAAAATCAGTTAGGTTCTTTGCATACTCTAATCACTCTTATTTTAACACTTGCGTGATGAGAATGACAGACGTTATGTCAGAAGGCAGGCAAATTTGCTCGGGTGTACATACAAAAGGCAATGGAGGCATCACACCATAGAGAATGAAGCCAGGCATACTGTTATTACATATTATTCATTATTATATAATTATTATTATTCTATCTATCTATCTATCTATCTATCCATCCATCCATCCATTTATTTGTAGGCCCATTTTTCCCTTCACTTGAAAGGAGGCTGGGGTGTCTCCCAAGGGCTGAGAAATGCAGGAGAGTAACAAAAGCACCACTGACTTTGGGCAAAAATAAGTAAATCTACTACAATCGTATGTAAACATAACTCAAGCATCAATTAAAAAACCTCAATTTATAAGAAACCAAAAATTTGAGGGTCACACAACACTGAATATGAGGGGACTGCCAATTTTAAAAGGGGCAAAACACTATGGTATGGTGATAGCTGTAATAAAAATGTTTCCCTGTTAAAAACCTGCTAGGAAGGTGCAGGTATGCTGCTGTGTGCCTGTACTCTCTGTGATAGTTCTCTCAGTGGGAGTAAGAGGAACAATTTCTCTCTTTTTATTTGTCAGTAAATAAACACAGCACTGGGTTCACAACACTCCCTGCTCGCAGATACCATTAGCTGGGCTGGACTTTCTCCAGATTTAACTCCAAGCCCAATCCTAATGGCTTTTAACAATATCTCATAGTTCTCTGCTGCTTTACTTGAGCTTGTCCAGATGAGCTTGGTCCTGTTTTCTCATCACCCACTGATTCTCTTCCTGCTCTTCCCAGCAACAGTGGCCATGGCAAAGCCATGACCCTACTCAGCTCTTTGCCCTTCTGGGAGACGGCTGGAGCTGAAGCAGCACAAGGCACTGGTGCTTTCTATAGCCAGACTAAGAAAAAGAGCTTTGGAAATCTTCTGAGGAGGCTTTAAAATCACATCCCAGGGGCCAGACCTCCCGTGCTAAGGAAGCACATGAGTCCTGCAACCTTCGGTTTTGAAATGCTACTGCACGTAGCGTGTCTCATTTGCAGGGCATGCTGTTAACAAAGGCGTTTTCTAATTATTGCGAGGCAAAACATGTCATAATTCAGACCTTAAAGGAGACCCCTATGGCAGTAAATAGCTGGGGAGGTGGACTGGCCACTCATAATCTCTCAGCTGGGATTGGAGTTAATCTAGGTTTTGGTCTGACCAATGCACTTAGCACAGATAATCCCTGTTGTTGTAAAGAGCTAAGTTTGGTATCTCCCAGTAAACAGTTGGGAGCGGATGACTAAAGGGTTTTTAGGTCACTGAAAGTCTCTCCTGGAGATACCCATGAATTCTGGGCAAAGCGTTTGAACACGCTTCCTATGGGACAGTTTGCTTTGATGCAGAAGAGAAAGCCCTGACCTTTCTGCACTACCCGGCCTGCCTCGGGGGCTACTTTCTGTAAAATGAAGCCTTAGCTTTTCATCACAACCTGGCAGTGCACACTGGTGTCCTCAGATGCATTCACAATTCCCAGCAGCATCAGCAGATGCAGCTGGCATCAAAACGAAGCCCACAGACTTAAATCATGTTTCCATGCTCTCTTCAGAAAATCAGAGTGGAGGATAGCATCTTTCAGAGTAGAAACACCTACCTATCATCTGAGCGATCGTCTTCTCATATTCTGAAACTATTTTCCTAGAAGAGAGGAGAAAAAGAAAAGCTTTTAGCAAACATCATAATTGCTAATCCTTGCTGAGAAAATAACGCTGCTCAGTAACTGAACTATGGTATTTTAAAAGAGATACAGAATCCCTTCACACTTTTATGTGCTCCTTATTACCTGAGTAACAAATAAAACTGACAGTTTAAACATTGCACCTGATTTTTAATTCTCCATGTAAATCAACAGAGGTGGGGGGAGGGAAAAGAGATTGCTTCGAAACAAATTCTGCCATTTGAAACATGCCCAAAGCACATCACCAATCACGATTTAAATATAAACACAATCACACTGGCTAATTCTAGAACTACAAAGAGTCTGATTTTTCCATTACTTTCTCCCCTCTTCTCCATGTTTGTGTTTGCTTGTTTTTAATGTAAATGTTAAGTAAAGTTACAATTGGTAGCAAGTAAACCTAACAGAAGTATAGTTGGCCCTCATCCAAAATACATCTAATCTTCCACCCTCCAAATGCAACTAAACGATCCATTACCACTTAAGAGAACAAGACCAAAATATTCAATTATGTAGCACAAAATCCACTGCGTCCTGTTTCCCAAATCTGTTGTTGAAACAGAGGTGGCAAAATGCTACTTTTAAGACCATTTTATTTCACACACTCACAGTAGGCTTTGAATTTCCTTCTTGAAAAGAGGTTAGCCAAAATAAGCAGATTAAATGTGATTTAGAAAGATGATCATCCCTTTCCAGAGCCAAATAAAGCTAATGAAATGAGACTAGCTTGATCTGTGCTTTGATTCATGAGCCACGTAGGACTGCCTATGAAAAACAAAATTACCCCACGCTTCATCTGAAGTGGATATTCGAAATAGTTCACTGGTGTTTGAACAGGTCTCTTTTGAAGCCCTCGCTCACTTTCACTTGCTCCATTTTAGAGAAGTCTGCTGCAGTTGGTGAGGTTAC